GCTTCTCTTGGTGTAGAGAGTGTTGATAACTCTTCTATGCCCTTTGCCTGTTTCCCTGCAAACAGTAACAATCCTGCACAGCGTCTCCAGTCTTTTGGCAATGCAAACACACATGCAGTTTGGATCTTCTTTCCCATTCCTTTTGGCTGATGTGGAGGGCTTTCCAAGGTTTGGTAGTTGCATCCTCCGGTTTCTCGGGAATCTTTGCATTCTTGGAAAGGTGGGTTATGGTTCCCTTACCTTAACTGCAGTTAGGCCCCTTGCTTGAAGCAGGTTTTCTAAAGGCATTACATTTTTATTCTTCGTCCATATCAGACTCAAGGACTAATGTAGAACAGCCCGCATCAAAGTCCGACTCTAGATCGTCATCATCTAGAGGTAGATCATCCGCATAGGACTGGTCCTCGGCCTCCACATGTTCATGCAGGGCAACCTGGTGGTTACTTCCGGACAGCTTGCGTCCAAAAGACTTACCTGCAACTGGTATCTTCACACGCCTGACGAGGTCTTTGGCCTCTAGGTTGACTAGATCTGTTAAGAGCTCACACCAAGTCGAATGCTCCTTGAGTCCTAGCTGGGAGATATATCCTTCAAGAGCCACTCCCATAACTACATCCATGCAAGACCTTCTCTCTCCCTTCTCTCTCTTTCCACTTTTTGCTCATGCGTCTCAAGACTGGACATAGATAGTTCAGGTAAAGAAAAATAAAAGTAAATCACAAGAGGGAAGGTAGAACTCCTAGCCAGAGCGCCAATTCATTTGGACTAGAGAATGGCATCTATGCAGCAGGATAGGAAAAAAATATATAAGAAAAATATATATAAAAAATCAGAGAGAGGTCTGACTTAACAAATGTGTTCGGCCAGATCAGACTTGAGATCCCTTCTCGACTGACCCAACAAGGAATATGCATCACCGATAAGTCCGACAAAGAAAAAACTAACTGAAGCAATCGAGATTTCGAGGGTGCATACGGTCGCCAAGCCAGACGGGGAGCAGTGTGTAAGAGTGTGTGGTAAGACCCTGTCAAGATCCACTCGAAAGGGAATGTCCCTACTAGCCGTGTGTCCCCCAGTTCCAGCGTAGCGAATAAATGCAACTGGCGGTAACATATCTCGGGCCAAAGGGTCCTGTCCCATTAGGCTTGGTCCCACTGAGTCCAGCAAGGGTCCAAGTAGGTCGTGGACCAGGACCGACCAGAAGGGTGTCCCAAGATGGTCCCAAACTGCGTCTACCGTGCTGAAAAGGAAAACCTAACTTCAGCAAGAACCTACTAACTACAACCGTTCAGAAATGAAAAGATAATGCATTGTAGAAAGGTATGCCGTTGAGAACAAGATACATCATCCATCCAGCCGACAGGCGAGAAAGCTATCCACACGCTCAACAACCAAGACTGTTGAGAAGAGGTAAAGAGCCTAGCACAATCCCCAACAGGCCATGAAGCACCATGCAACCACCCGTGGGCAACCCAAGTCACACGACACTCACCTGTGAGGCCCGGCCTCCAAAGATAAGATAACGACTCACCCCCCTCTCTCATGGGTCCTCCTGACCCCTAGCTACCACTACACGAAGTGTCCTACAATGACTAAGAGGGCCTACCTACACCAATGTACAACGCCGGATCCACCGTGGATGTGGAAGATCAAAGTAGCAACTTGCACCCCTTCGATGCAATTATGGCAGCTTCCGATCAAGTCTCCCTCTTGAGGGAAAGCCCAAAAGTCACTCAATGTTTTCTTCATGTCCAGATTCCAGGTGTGAGTACCTCTCACTCTCTACTTCCTCTCACTCACTCCAATCAGCCTCCTTTGTGTTTCGCCAACCCAACCATCCACTCAACCAACCTGGTCAGGTCCACTGTCGACCCAACATGACCTAACCAGGTGGAGGTTAATATCTCGCTGCCCCTCTTAACCTAACCTCCAACCCTCATCCAAGGTTAGTTAGACCTACCTAACTCGGAATTAGGGTTAGGGTGGTGACTAACACCTCTCGCCAGCGAGTAAGTCCGCTCTGATACCAAATGCTACGATCTTGGCTATTTCCGAAGTGCAAATTCACAAGAAAAGACAATGCCACCCAATTCCAAAAGAAATGGAAGCACTTGCGAAAAGATAGAGACCAAAGAAAAAGAAGAAGATGTACATCAGCAATACCAATGATAAATCCCCCTTCTCTCTCCACTCCCCACCTCCTTCTTCTCTCTGCCAATTTTATTCTTCTCTAAAATAATAATAATAACAATGAGTGGTTGAACCAGAATCAGTATCCAAAGTTCCCTCTTACTGCCAGCTTAACAAGAGGTCCACCATCGCCATGGGCTCCCTCTTCTTCTTCCTCACACAGCCCTAGGCTATGGTGGACTACTAAGGGCCCTGCCCTCCTGCGCAAAAGATAACGCAAAGCCACTATATGGCCGCTGCTCTTAAGGCCGCCATGCCCGACTTTGCCTCGAAGCTTCCTTGGTGCGGCACTACCCCAACTGGGGCCATCCAGATGCAGCACCTAACAAGGTGATGAAGATGGTGTCCACCATAGCCAGGTAGGTACCTCGCCACTCTCCTCCTCGCACCCTTCTTCCTCCTCAAGTAGGGCTGATCGCCATCTCTCCTCCTTCCTCCCAGGCACCGCTCTGAGCACCAGCGCCCGCTCAAGCAGCATGACGCCCAAACTTGCATACCGCAAATGAGGTAGAGCTCAGCGCTCTACCTGGAGATATAGTGGCCTACCTGCCTCTTGGGCGGTGACTTCCAGGCTGCACGGCCTCCAAGCAACCGCTACCTCCTCCCTTTCGAATTACCTGCCTACCTCTAGCCTACCCCTACTGGGCCTCTGAAAATGCCAACTTTTGTCTTCTTCTGCTCGGCCTCCAGTTCCCGACACATCTCCTTCCTTTCGAATTGCTACCCGCCTACCTCTAGCCTACCCCTTCTGGGCCTCTGAAAATGCCAACTTTTGTCTTCTTCTGCTCGGCCTCCAGTTCCCGACACATCTACCGCTACCGGCCTACCCGCTACTTTAGTGTTTTTCCCCCACTGCCCTAAGTGTTTCCCCGCTGCGACCCTTAAAATCATGGCCAAAGGTAAGTACCAGCCCCGCGGGCCTCACAACACAGTGCCCTGTCGGGCCACACACACACTCAGCCATCAGACAGGCACATGGAGCAGCAAGCAAACACACACACACACACACACACAGACTTAGAAAACTCAGCACAACGTGGGAATCTCAGCAAGCCATACATTCCAGCGGCAAAACCCAGAAATCGGCAGCGTTCTCAGTCTGTGTTTTAGCGGGTCATTACAGATTAGAGATCAGGAGGGGAAAAAAAGGCATTTGGGACATCTGTTAAAATTGGAACAATACACAGAAAATTAGCATGGCCCCTGCACAAGAATGACAAAAAAATTGAAACAAACAAAAAAAAGGCGGCCTTATGGTCACAGCTCCTTTCTTTTCTGGGGAGCACTGATCCGATTCGTTTCCCACCAGCAAATCATGAAAAGTACAACATAATTATGGGTTAGGATTGGCAGCGTTGATCGCTCCTTTGTCAAGGAGGATTGATTGTCATCCTTGTATCACTGACACCACGGTATGTGCATCGGCTTGCATCTGGGGGCGACTCGTAACGTCCTAAGACCTGGATAAGTCGGCGTCCCTCCTATTTTCTTTAATTAAAAAAGAAGAAGAGTCCCTTCTCCTCCTTGTGATGCCTCCCCTGTCTACCTGAATTTCAAGTTTTGCCATTTGCTCCATCTCAAACGATTGCGGCGGACAATTGCCACCTGGAATCCAACCAACCAGTCTCGCATTAGGTTTTCTTCGAGAATAAAGATCTGGCCTGTCCCTCTCAAGTGTCTCAGCATCCTGTTCCATCGGCATCTGATCTTCATTTAAATAGACTCTTTGTAGTATGCCAGGCTGCCTAATTCTCCAGGCAGCCCAAAGTGTCGCCTTTCTGTTGAAATCAAACCAGACTTAACTGGGGTTTAGGAGATAGTGCGGATATTCACCCAGAGGGCCAGAGGAGGATTCGAAACAGGAACTTCCAAAATAGTCTCAGCAATCGACACAAATCAGGTGAGATGGAAAAGGACAGATGAGCTTGTCAGATTCCATGGCTGTGTCCCGCATCCATGCCAGCACAGTTCAGAACAGGAAAGAGTCTAAAATGGATTCAAATTTCAAATTCGTCCTTGCCGTACGACACATGTATGTCTGAAGGGATTCAGGCACCACACACCCCTTTGTTTCGATGACAAGCATGGACTAGGCAACTGTGTGTGCTGATGACATTCAGGGACTTGGTGCAATTCCTTTGGCCGTTATCCCGTATCTTATGCCATGTGGGTCTTCATCGCCACCTCTTGTCTGCTTCCAGGTGCCAGCACAAACTCAGCCAATTTACAAGCGGATTTATGCTTAATGCTACTGGCATGCCAGTTTACAAGTGGCAGCAGTCGGACCTAGTTGATTACGGATGGCAAGGCTTGAGGAGATCACCGACGAAATACAAACTAAGGTGCTCTCCTGGGTTGAAGACAACGGCATTGCAATTAAGTTTTTTAACTGCACGACTCTCGGCTCTACCTACCATTCTCCATGGATACATTTCTCATATGTTTTCTGCCGCAGACCACACTGACGGCAACCATTTCAGGCAACAGTGAAGCAGACAACCAGCCCTAAGGTTGCTTGTCACGAACGTACCCTATTGTCAAAGAAGTGTTAGCTTGTGGCTCTCACACTCCTTTGTCTTTTTCGTTTGTTTTTTTTTTCTTTGGACAAGTTCTCGACTTATATGTGTCATCCTTGCAGAGGAGCCATGCTAATCTTCTCTGTACCGTCCCAATTTTAACGGATGTCCTGAAGGACACGCCTGTTGCACATTTAACCTTCTCGATGGAACCGCCAGAGCGGTATATTCCCGTACACTACACAGCAGACGATGCATACACCACAAACCTAAAGATAGGCTCTGCAAAGGCACCTGAATACCAGCATTGTTGACCAATATGTCAATGCCTCCAAAATGCTTCTCTGCTGTAGCAAACACGTTGGCGAAGTCCTCCGTCCTGCACACATCGCATCTGCAAGATGAGAGAGAGAGAGAGAGAGAGAGAGAGAGAGAGAGAGAGAGAGAGAGAGAGAGAGAGAGAGAGACAGACAGACAGACAGACAGACAGACAGACAGACAGACAGACAGAGATGTCATCAGATTGCTATGTCCTGATCGATTCCAAAAATGTCGGAATGATTTGACCCTCCTTCGGTCAGACAAGTCTTCCTTAAATTGAAGGAGAAAAAAACAAGAAACTTTTCCTTGAATAGAAAAGAATCTTTAGATGACAAAAATCTTGAAAAGAGATGTCTACGAGATGTAGATAACGAAAGACGTCTCATCCTCATACCGGGGAAGAGATCAGACTTGATGGATCCAACTCTGATACATGGACATGGAAAGAAACCACTTACAGGCATTTCGGAACTGGCACCACGAAACTCTATATCACATGGTATCCTACGCCAAATCATGAGCGGAATGCCAAAAACTTTCATGTTTTTTTAGCCCTTACATTCCATAGCGCTCTGCCCACCATTTTCTGAAATGTTTTTCTTTAGGAGAAGAGAAAATATTAAGAGTACTGGGGCGCCGTCATTCTAGAACATAATCATCTTGGTCATGACAATGATTAGTTCCTCCCCAGTGGATTTGCCACTTAAACCACCAGTACACCCGGGCCTGGAGGCACTGCACGGCGCGCCAAGCTTTTCTGAACCAACAGCATACTTTTTTTTCTTTTTCGGCTGGTGGCACCAGCCATTGTGGTCCCAAAGCCCCAACCTAGCAAAACTTCGAAGTTGGCAACTTGCGATTTTCTCCAAGGCTGGTGCCGTGTACTGGCGTTTTAAGAGGATTTTTATGACCCCATGGGCGGTGGAGCAATGTTGTCCATTTCAATTGCTGTACTTCTTTTTGCATCTCCGGCTTCTTCCTTCCCTTTCTGCTTCCTTCTCCATCTACTGCGCAATCCGTAAGTTCCCACACCAGCTCTACCATCTCAGCACTCAGGCGACACATCAGCTTTGACAAATCGGCAGTTGGATGACATGGTTGCAGTCACAGGTAAGCAGCTGACACGTCTGCAGTACGGTGACACGTACTGCTCACATGGCACCCAACGGGTGACACCGTGCTGCTCACATGGTCCAAAAACGTTCTGCATGGTACCCCACGACAATGGTACTCCTTCAGCAAGGTTTCCGCACTGCTCACATGGTACCATACATCAGTGTGAAGCTGTGGATATTGTGGATGGGGCTGTGTGCCCTTGTTGTTTGAGGTCATGTGCTTGATGGAGCAAAAGTAGTGTGTGACACATGTCTGGGTGGTGTTGTGTGTGTGTATGATGTAAGGTAAGAACACTACAGCCATGCAGGGGAGGAAGGGATATCAGTATGGTCCCACTTGTGTACGTCGTGCCATGCCTGTAGTGGTTAAGAAACTCTGCTCTTGAGGCTGAGGGCACCAGTTTGAATCTGTGCATGCACGGAGGAGGTCCAAGTCTGGAAATAGTACTGACTGTACCATGTGATAAGACTTGCAGCACCTTGATTGATTGAGGCAAATCTTGCAATTATGTTCGTCAGTTCTTTTTGGACTACACTGGCCTGTGGACGTGTTAGAAGCAAGGTTTGCCCCACAAAGGTTACTCTAGCGGATGATTGTACGCAGCAGTGGATCGACTAATGCTGTAGCGATGTAGCGGTCGATAAGTTGCTGCGTCCTTGCGTCCGCCAACTTGATCGTCATCGGGTTTGCCTTCCTCTGAACTTGTGCGCCAAGGCCAGCCCTTTGCATAAAGGCCTGGCTCATGGACGCGCCGCTATCCAGCAAAGCGCTGCAGGACGCTTGCCCAACTTGGATGCGGACATTGAGGAGCGGTGCGTTATTGTCATCGTACCGCTGCTTGCGAAACTCGCGGGCCACCTTGGTAACATACGCAAGGATGTCCCCCACCACGACTTCGTCATCCGTCAGCGAAGCTGATGGTGCATAGAAGGATAAGTACGTATGAACATGAGCGCATAATGCTTCACATTGTGGTCCCGACAAGCAGCCCGTGGTTGGGAGAGGAAGCCATGCAAAATCCTCGGATGTGAGCGGGACCAATACCTCTATGTTGAGCTCGCGGGCCAAATCCCGTGAAGAACCACTTGAAGACGATAAGTCACCGTTGCCGGACGAAGAAGATGCCGCACACACGTCTTGTCCTTGAGCATGAGTACCCAGCGTAGGAACGAGCCGGGCAGCAGTCCTCGTAAGAATATAGAAGAGGAGGAGTATCGACTTCCGCGTGTGCCTCAGAACGAAGGGCGGTCACCCGTGAAGTGACCGGTTCCGAAGGCGTCGAGAGTGTCGTCGACTCACTCCTTGCGGTGCTCAGTTTCCCGATTGCCTTTGCCTTTCGACCGGCAGCCCACTGTCTCATGGAGATCGTTGTTGCAGCGAAATTTTGTGTGTGCCTTGTACGCTTGTTCGGAGAGACCGTAGTGGGACCATGGGGCTGGAGCTGTTGCACCAGGTCCGGGGATAGATGCAGTGTTTGTCTTCGTCTTGCCCCAACCTCGGCCTTTGTCGGGGCGGCCACCATCCTGGGCGGCTGCGAGTTTGTCCCCTTCATTGGCAGACACGGCCTCGCTAGGTTGGTCGATTGGCATTGCCGCTGCGACCACGACCACTTTCGGTCGATGCTGATCTTTGCTCAGGCCTGCCGCAGACGAACGGTGGAGGTTCTTGGCCTCCTTGTTCGTGACAATGATCTGCACGGCCTTGTCGAAGAGCTCCGCCGTTGTCGTCAGGGTGTCCTCGACATGAGTCAAGGCGTTGCCCAACGCCGGACACGACCTCGAGATGAAGTAGTGTTTAACGGCCTTGAAGCCCATTTGCATGTCTCGGACGGATGTCAAGCGTTGGTACTCGGCAATCCAGTCAACACTCGGCAGTGTGCCTTGTTCGAAGGTCATTAGCTTGTCCATTGCCTTGATATCCAACGGCTCTACTTGGAACCGCTTATGCCACGCCGCCCTTAGATCATCCCAGTTGATCTTGGTGTGCAAGTCGGCAACTACCACTCCGTACTTGGACAAGAGATTGTCCAACCATGCTAGGCACGCGCCCCCCGACCGGGAGTATAAGTACTCGTGATGCTTGTGTTCGCTGACGTGGTGGAGCTGCAACTTGAGCTTGAACTTGCGGAACCATGGAATCGGGTTCGTCTTCGTCGAGTCGCGAAGATCTCATGCCCATCGAACTTTGGAGTTGTCTCGTGCAGTTCTGATCTCGAGTGTGTGGCCACAGTACAGATCCGTTGCTCCAACTGTTGCGTTGTGGTTTGCTGTAACTGCACGCCGTCCTTGAGGGATCCGACGTCAATCTCCAATGCCTCGAGGCGATCGGAGGTGTTGGAGGAGCTGGCATCGGGGGCAGCGACGGGTCGTTGCTCCAACTGCTGGAGGCGGCTGCTAACTTGAGCCAACGCATCGTCGAGGTTGTGGATATCCTCCTATATCCTCTTGCTGTGTAATGCATGTTGCCAAGAGATCCGTGAGATGGGAGAGGAGTAGAGCGTTCTTGTTTTCACTCTCTTCAATCTTACCATTCTCGGCCTCGGCCCACCAGTCCGCTGCCATTGTGAGCAAAGCTCGCTCTCCGCTGATTATCTTCTCGCGTCGTTGAATTCGTTCTTCATCGACTGCCTTTGTTGCTGCTTCGTCTTGCTGGCGCTGCTGTTCGATTGCCAACAGACGTGCCTTCTCGGCATCCTCCGCCGTCTTCTTTGTTGCGGCTGCTACTGCATCCAACCGTTACTTGGCTTCGGTAATCAGAAAAAGCATCCGGTCCTGATACGCCTCATCCGTTTCCTCGGACATCTAGTCCATGACGGCTGGTTGCGAGCGCGTGAGCATAGACCAGGCTGGGGGTCTGCTGACGTGGCCTGCTGACGTGGTCTGCTAACGTGGTCTGCTGACATGGCCTGCCGACGTGGTCTGCTGATGTGGCCTGCTGACGTGGTCTGCTGACGTGGCAACTTACCAATGTCGCCACAGGAGGTACCCGAAGACTGATAGAGAAGATAAGACCAGATGGGGCAACAACGTAGGTGGGGAGGGGTGGGTGGGATAAATCGCCCAGATAAGGAGCCACTACTCAAAAAAGAAAAGTTTGAACTTTGCAAAAATTTCGAGAAAAAGAAAAAAATACTCATTTGCAAGTTCGGTAGGCCTCCCAATTCCCCCTGGAGTGCGAAATTACGAATGAGAAAAAATTCAAACTTTCAGACTGCAAAGGATCATCCGATAAAAGAATCCCGGAAATAAAGTACAAAAAAATATTCGGAATTACTCAAATGAGAGTACGCGCAGTTTGGAGAATGATAACTGCAAGAGGGATTTCCCGTACCGTTTTCAAATCTCAAAAAATGAATTTCGAGAATGACAGAAAAAGAAATATTCCGGATTTCCAAATAACGGGAAAACGGAAAATAAAATTTTCAAAAAAAAAAATATTCCGGATTTCCAACAACGAAATTTTGAATTTTCAAAAGAAAAACGAAAATGGAAATTTCAGGTGTTGCGCGATTGCGATTTTCCACAACAGAAATAGCGGGAAAACAAAATCCAAGAAAAAAAAAAAACCGATTTTTGGCAGTGAGGTCAAAATCGTGATTTTGGGGGCTAACTAGTGTGCTCTAATCAATCAATCAAGACTAATCAGCTACTTAGTCCCCACACACGTGTCAGATCAGGTTGTCCTGATTCACGTGCGGTGTTCCGATACCAACTGTTACATGCCCAGTTGGGTGATGTACATAACTAATCGAGGATCCGCAATGTGATGAAAAGGACTGAATGGACAATGCAGTGCTAGTGAAATCTCAACAAGCAATGTACATCCTGATACATACAAAAATGGTGCTTTATAACGTCGGGGAAGACTTAGATACAAGTCTTGACCTGACCGGGACTGACCTCCCTCACGTAGTACAAGACAGCGCAGCAGAATGCTAGAATACCAATGACGAGCCCAATCAATGTTGCAATGCAGACTAAACATACATCATCTTCATCACAAGAAGCGAAGGAGGCCTAGCGCTACACACAGGAAGAATGCGCCAGGTCCTGATCATGGACAGACGGAGAGGAGGGGAACATATGAAGCAGAGGAGGGGGGAGATGGGAAAGTCGTCAACACCAAGTCTTCGTTGCAAGTCCCAAATAATCCCTCGTCAAAATGTCTGAAGCCCAACATCGAGTCTGGATCCCAATGTCACCAAGCTCTCTCTCTCTCGTGGTCTGCTGATGCAGTAAGTCAGATAGCGAGAGGGTGAGAGGGAGATGGCGGACTGAGAAGAGGAAGAAGAAGAACTCTCTATCTCTCTCTTACGTGCCAGGTACTAACCTGTGAAGTTGGCGCTATGCTGCAAGTACCTCGAAGATGAAGCTGGAGCTATGGCGCTGCAGGTAAGTCTCTCTAGCCTCCGCCCAATCTCTCTCTCTCTCTCTCTCTCTCTCTCTCCAGCGCTGAAAACTATTGCTAACGCTGCTAGCGCCCAGCGCTGAAGACTACTGCTAATGCTACTAGCACCCAGCGCCGAAGACAATTGCTAGCGCTACTACTACTCCTACAGCGCTCCTCCAGAGTGCTGCTGCCGAATCCTGAAGACTACCTCCTACCTCCTTAACTGCACGTGAAGTTTCTGGGAAGTACCTAGGGACTACCTGCAGCCTGCAGGGCGGGCCAATCCTATATAGTGCTGGCCCATCCAGGAGGCTGCTCTTGCCAGTGYCGAAACGTGCCAGACCCTGGCGTTGAAGCTCAACCAGGGGTTGTCTTGAAAACAGGCCCAGAATGGCCTGTGCTAAAACCCTGGTTTGGTGCCTGAGTTTCAGGGCAGGTCGAACTCATGAGGGCCTGAAAATGGCCCTCAATTTCAGGCTGAAAAGACTCGGAGCCGGAAAGGCCCTGATTTAGGTTGAAACGACACAAGGACTGTAGGCCCTTGTTTTCAGGCTGAAAACAACACGGGGCCTGTAGGCCCTTGTTTTCAAGCTTTCAGGCTGAAAACAACACGGAGCCTGTAGGCCCTTGTTTTCAGGCTTTCATGCTGAAAACAACACGGGCCTGAAAATGGCCCGTGCAGCATGTTGCAGGCGCAGCATGTAACACACACGAGGAGGTCCCGGAGATTGGAGTTTTTATCTTCAAACAATTTCATACACAGACTCCTCAGCGACTGACACATCTTTCAATCCTCAAGTTGTGTGTATGCGGATGTTTTCAAGGCACCTTAAGTATAGTGTTTGCGAGGATTGAGCCGTCGCGGTGGCCTTTTGACCTCGGCACCCGACCGCCATGGGGCTCCAGCAAGCCTCATGCCCGCCCTTAAGTGAAGGCGGGCCTACATTTTGACATGAGGCCTAATTTTTGTCTTTTCTGCAAGGTGGGGAGCCAAAAAGTTTCCACGCGCTAGTTGCTTACAAGTCCACGCCATTGTCAGCACAACATTGGCTCACCCAGCATGCAACGAGGCCAGAGGCTCTCGTCCAATGGAAATCCACGCAGCGACTTGGCAAGTGGCCCGTGAGCCAATGAGAATGCAGCGAGTGATAGCAGCCATGGCACACAGTTGGGCAGCTTAACTGCTGCGGGCCCAGGCCACAGTCTAGATGGGCCTGGGCGCAAACACTTTCGCCCAACGTCAAGCTACTGGCCACACACTTGCCAGGCCCAAGGCTCCCGCGAGCACTAGGGGTGAGCATTTTGTAGTAAACGTCAATGTAGGTGGACAGAGGGTTGGTGCCTTCGCAAACATATGCTCTACTAGGAATTTCATCAGCCATGCTTATGCGGAGAGTCTGCGCTTACGGGACCGAGTGCCACGGCTTAGTCGAATTGTAGCATTACCGGCAGCGCATGGTTGTGCAGGATCATGTCAAGGACGTAGTTTGCAATTTCTCCGATGAAGGAATTACACGATTCTGTTCTTGGTTAGCGATGACTTTCGTTCGATATGTTGTTAGGTATGTACTACCTGGGGGTCGCTAAGCCCCAATTTGACTGTGACCGTAAACTAGTTAAGTATATGTTGTCGGATGGAAGAATAGTACTTGTGGACTTGTGGAGTCTTGCAGCTGCATGTGTGCGCAGTCGTTCTATAATGTTTATAAACAGAACCGAGAGGAGGGTATGTATTTAGTCTTTGTCTCTGAGAAAGGGAGGGCCATAAAAACACCCCCAAAGATAGAACAAGTCGCTCGTTATCCATACCATTTAGATAGAACAAGTTGTCGCTCGTTATCCATACCATTTTCAAAAACCTACAAGTGTGGCTATCCACGGGATTAGAGATCGTCCCAGGTAGCAAGGTGCCTGAAGGACATATCTACAAGATCTCATGCGAAGTCGGATGAGGTCCGCAACCAACTAAAAGAGTAAACGGAAAAGAGATTGATCCAGCCTCGTACGTCTCCCTACGGTGTGTCTGTATTGTTCGTTCTTAAGAAAAGGGGGGCCGCTAAGGATGCGCACTGACTATAGAGGCCGCAATGCCATCACCATTAAGAATGCAGAGCCTCTACCCGCATCCACGACCTATTGGATTGAGTTCAGGGATGTAGGTACTTCACAAAGATAGATCTGAAGTCTGGGTACCACCAAATTGCCATTAATCCTAAGGATCATCACATAACCTTTTTCAAACCCGATACGGTCTGTACGAGCTTGTGGTGATGCCTTTCAGCTTATGCAATGCACCAGGTATATTCCAGCACGCCATGAATGAAATAATTCATTATTACTTCGGCAAGTTTATCATCGTATACCTCGACAACATTCTTATCTCTAGTAAGATTGTTGAGGAGCATGCGAAGCACATGGACTTGGTACTCGGTCTCTTTTATCAGCACCAGTGCAAGATCAACTTGGAAAAATGTGAGTTTGGTCGCACCAAGATCTGGTATCCGGTAATGAAATTCCGGTAGACGGATTGAGGCCCAAAGATGTGAAGGTGGTTAGCATTTGTGACTAGCCACGACCACAGTCCTTGATCGAGGTAAGGTCTTTCTTGGGGATGACAAGATATTACCGGCCATTTGTTAAAAATTGTGGTACTATAGCTTCCCTATTAACTGACTTGACTCACTTTGACACCGCTTGGGAGTGGACAGATGAT